CTCTCTCTCTCTCTCTCTCTCTCTCTCTCGCTGTACTCAATACTGAAATTAAGTGAAAGTATTCAATCATTGCTATCATTGCGGATATGATGTGTTTTGATTACCAGTTATGATGCAATCAATGAGTTACTACAGTATCGTATATGTACTGTATTTCAGTACTCTATACTCAATAGAGTATAATATAATAATAATACAGAATTAATACATAAGTTATCGTTATGTGAGACTAAAGACAACGTGACAAAGCATTTATCTCATTCCCAAACCCTTTCCTAAATTCAAATACAATTGAATGCATTGAAAGTATATCAAGAATTGTTACATTTTAAGGCCCACTCAATTGAGGCTCACTTTTAGAAATAAATAAAAACAATTTTTATGATTACCTGTAAAAAAATATTTTTGGTTTCAACATTTAAATATTAACTTAATTATAACAAATGCTTTCAAAAAATTAAAACTTAAGTGTTAGTAATTAGAAAACAAAATTTTTGAATAGAGATTTAAAATTGAATTATTAATAAATTTATATTTCCTTTAAATGACTTGTAGAGCACATCCACTTTTGTGAACACAATTTAATGCATTAATTATCAATAAATTATATTAAATTTGACGTCAATTACATTATATTTTATTGTAAAAACTTTCGTATAAACAGATTCCGACCGACAAATGCTATATTTATCTCACTCTGTCTTAAATGTTACAAAATATTGAGCAAAAAGTTTATCTTTTCATTGTTTTATAAAAGAGGAATTCGTATTCATTTTTATAACGTTTTAGTTTTACAATAATTATAACAATGATATTAATATCTATCGCCAAACGTTTGTCTCGATATGATTTTGATTGAGAATTGCAAACATATTTACAAAACACATTAATCGGTTAGTCGGGCAGCACTTCAAAGACTATTTACTATCGTTTATCATATCATCACATAATAATACGGTATAAACTTTTACGATTCCACTTATGATTGACACATATATTTCACACAATATAAAACAACTAAAACATAGGTATAAATAAAGGCATTCTCTCATCGCTTTTCGCTGTGTTTTAATTATACAAAGCGTTTAAGAAATGCCTTTATATTTCGATGACTCATAAGAAGTGAAATACTTTTGAAATACATTTAGTTATTTCGTTTGCAATCGTTTTGAAGTTCATTCGGTCATTGGAGACACGGCTTGACATTGATCTCCACTCTTCATATCATAAGACCATTACTTTCACTTACTTTCAAATTGAGGACAGTTTAGATTCATTGAGATTGCAATGAGTACCTGATTGTAAAAATTGATTAATTGTTGTATAGTATGCGGAATATATGAAATATGTTGCGGTATTATATAGTTGTAGGCGTTGTGGGAAATTCAACCATAAGAATAGCATTAAAATACAATTCAATTCAATTCAATGCAAACGCATGGCTAAACAGTTAGTCATTTTGCTTAACGCTCTGTGAGTTCGTTGTCTTCATGTGAATCATAGATATTACAAGAATTTATCAGATTTTCATTGAATTATCTCTAATTGATATCTAAACAAATCTCTTCTCTCTTTTTTTATAAAAACTTTTTGTTTTGACAAAAATCATTAAAAAATGTTTTCTTTTGTTTGCAAAACAGCTTAACAGCACTTTTCCGGACCCGGAGTTCGAAGAAGGGGTCAAAACGTATCGACAGGAATGGCTGCCCGAAGTGCCGGCCACTTCTGAACAAGTGTTTCAGAGAATGAGTGTAAGTCTTAATATGAAATTGTTTTCAAATAACTATTCACTCCCACTGTTGTGTTCGTCCCTTCAATATAAATATTGGTTTTAATATTTTTCAAAAAGTATTAATTGTTTTTTGTATTGATTTTGACATAAATAGTTTGATGAGGCGTTTACCACAGCATACGAATACATACAACACTTTGCTGTGGGTTTGGAGCAAATCCTATTGGATCAAGTGCTACACGACGGCAAAATGACCACAGATTTCAAAGACATAGAGTACGATCTGTTCCAGTTGTTGTGTGAAATACAACTGGGAATGCATTTGCAAAACATTCAGCCAAAGGCCGATGTCTTGCGACACGTGATGTCTCATCAGTATCGGGACATTAATGAGGCGTCGCTCAGGAATCTTCGCGATTACCTAATCCTAAGGGATTATATCTCTGCCACCAATTTTATAGCCCAGTTGTTTGCATATCTCAGATCCAAAGCTAGAGCCGAGTCTAGTGAGGTTTAAGAGCGCCCGGACCTCAACTCACACCCGCCGGGACTCTCTGTTCAAACATATTGATTGCCAACACTTTTGAACAATGTTTTGAAGTTCTCTCTCACACAACACTTCTTTACAATAATAATAATAATAATGATATGAATTCAAAACCACTTATATTTTTAAAGCTGTGATCTCTTTTGCCTAATTTATTTGTATTTATTTAATTCAATTGCATTTGTTTTTAAAAATATTTGTACATTATTTTTATCTCATTATATGTTATTTATAAGTTTTGAATCCAAAAATCTAATTAAAACCTCAATTGTTTTAATTTTGGTTTTGTGTTCCAGTATTACATTAGAGTCCAAAAATTGTAACAATTATTATACAAACTACTGATTGATTGTATCCTATGTTTGAATCATACGATTCTTAAAAACAATAATTCAAAGAAAGTTTGTTATTTATATACATATATATTGAATATATAAATATTAGGAATTATATAAACTGCCAGTTATTATAATACTATAAATATTTCATTGTATTAATTGTTGAAAAAATTTGAAAACTACTTATTTTTGTTTCGTTTTTCAATTCAGAAAAAACACAGACATCTCATCAAATGTCATGATTCACGAAAAAACAATATTTATTTATTTAAACAATTCATTACAACTTTCATAATTCCGTCCTTAACTTATTGTTTCAAATAAAATACTGATATTTAATTGTCTTTAAAAACAAATTAAACATTCAATTTATTTTAACACAAAAAACATTTCAAAAATAGTTAAAACGGATTGTGTATATAAATATTATATATAAAAAATATTATTGAAATAAAAAACACATGAAAATTTGTCATTTCGTTAATAAATTAATTAATTGATGGATGAAATCATTTTACAAATTATATATTTACAATACTTTAGTCTTAAACTTATGTTTCGGTCAAATAAATATATTTTTATAAAAAACTCATCAAAAAATAATTAAAAATAGTATAAAATGTGTATAAAATTGACAGTAAAGGCACCGATGAATGAAATGAAGTATATATTTGATGACCATATCTTGGACTGTCTGTCCGCCGGTTAAACTCAAAACTTGTGTGCCTTTTGAGCGCTGAGTCTATACGGCATCACAATTAGGCGATCACTCCTTCTGTTAACAAAAACAGTAAACCATTGATTGAATTAAGTCTTCATTCAATAGCGAAGTCGTCCTTATTTTGAATATTTTGTAATTTCATTAAATATTATTAAAATTAATAATTAATATTAGCGTTAAATTTAAGTTTTTATGTTCACTAATTGGACGGTTTGATGGCGTAAATAGTCGCTCATATTCTCCAACAACAGTATAGAGCTCTTCAATATTTGACAGTCGAGAACGGCTTTACGGGAACAGATGGGAGTGTCGGTCACCGAGTGTTTTAACACCCGATCCGTCGCTTCCATCAGTTTGAGGTCGATATTGAAAGTGTCTAAAACTTGGTTGAATAGACACATCAAATCTCTTAGGTTTATAGCTATTGTCCAGTAGTGTTGGGCCAATATTTTTGAATGATTTCGAGGGTTATGGTGTGAAAGTGGAGCGTCCGCTGCCTTATGTACTGAACAATTATGTCGATTATAATTGTGTTGTTTATCCCAAATCCAAAAAGTGTGTGCCGTTTGGTTAGTGAGAGATGTATACAACCATTGCATTGAATCCAATAGTTTTATTTCCTAATATAAAAACATTTTTATTTAGCAATTAATGAATGAATCAATCAATCAATCGATGGAATAATTATAGATAAAAATCAGTGAAACAAAAAAATGACAGACAAACAAAACAAGCCGACCTTAAGTTTTTTGTTTTACTATTTTATCGAGAAAACATAATTTGCACGTGATTTCATGTGGTATTCAATATTCTGGATCTATCTGTACTGATCCGGTGCCCCATTGAGGGGCGACGGGCGGGTGATTAGCCTCCACTAATAGACATTGAGCATGCTACTTTAATATCTTACTATGTTTTAAAATTTTAAGAATTCTAACATTCAGTACATAATATACAGATTGGAGGTCTTGTGACAGTTTTAGCAAGAGCACCTGTAGGACGACACAGTACAAGGTTGACTCCTATACATGCATGTAGTGATCATTGTATACATAGTAAGGGATTCTTTTATAACTAACTTTTATTAATAAATAATACTTTAAAGGATTTAATCGATTATATACTTTAAGTTTGAGAAAAATATTTAAAGAGAAAGCAAGTGACGAGAAACACGTAAGCCTTGTATGGATTAACAGTTTGTATGAAAAATGGGTTTAAGATTTAGCCACATATCATATGATGACTAAATGCACGTATAAAACAAGAAGATATTTGTCGTACTATTTACATAAAATCTTTTGTATCGATTTGTTAGCGTTTGAATGATTAAACAAAATATGAATTACATTCAAAGAAGTTGTACAGAAAAAGTGACGAAATGTAATGAATACATGAAGACATACCTTGAGTTCATCCAAGTTTGGGACGTCAGCCACGACTGGGAGCCGTAATTCAGTGCATTCTTCCACCAAATTCTGATATAAAAATTTGAGTGAAAAAAGTAGTTTTTATCAAAAATTTTTATAAATAGAAGAAAAGTTTTGATTATAGTTTGAGATAAGAGACCAGAACTGGAAAGTTGTTGAGTGGATGAGTGGGTACTCTATATAGAGGTAGTCTAGTCTACAGGTGCTGAGATGTGCTGCGATGTGCACTAATAAGTGGGTGCAATGCTTACCATTCTGATGACATTGGTGACCAAACCTTGCAAAAAAGTTGATTTGGTAATCAGTTCACGAAGTAGTGCTAATCCAGGCTTGTTTCCAGGCGTACCCGTCAGTGCTGTCAGTGCTGTCATACCCGTGAGTTCAGAGTAGGAGATGTCGTGATCAGAACCGGTGGTCGGGTTTGCTCTGCGAGGATGTGCTGATGAATGACGTCCAGGAGAGCAGGGATTATGCAAGTGATGAGTGTTTGCCAACCGATGGAAGTGAAGCGATGCCTCTTCGTTAGCATTGGTCGTCGAGTTTGGGCTTAATTTGTCGATTAATAGCAAAACATGACTTTCTGTCGGTTTGATTGCCGACCAATAACTCGATAGAGTGATGGCTATTAAGCAAACGTTCATTTGTCTGACAATGAAATTCATATCTCGAGTGTTCGGATGTCTTCAACAAACTGTTGACCAGAGTTTAAGTGACGAAAAATTCTTTGACTACTTTTGGCAAAAGTTAGCTTAACTTCTGAGAGGAATGTGAATGAGTAATACTCTGTATGTATTAATATGTGTGCAATGGTTTGGAATGTACTCCTATTCTTGTAGGAGCGGTTTCGATGCCTTTTATCTCTACTTTCATCACTTTATTTTAAACCATACTCTCAGTCCTCACCAGACCTTACAATCCATTAGAGAATTGGACGGACAGCTAGTATTGTAGACAATATATACTCTCCCTTTCAGTTGAAGGATTAAATTCAATGCATTAAAAATAGCGTTAATTTGTCTCTTCACTCGTCACTAAACATATCATAGACCACGTGCTCAGTGACACCTATTGGCGGATACTTCTGATGCTTAGCGCTACCAAACTTCGATACAAACTAAACACAATACTATTGTTCCGCACCTCCTATTAGACTAACGATTCTCTCGATGTGTGTATGGATGCGACGGTTGGACACATCACCAGTTGGTACCACTGGTCGGACACGGATTGCGATCACTTCACAACTGTTCTCTCAAATAACGGATTGACTAACTCTTCTCAGAATTGATATTTCAAATAATAGATGGAATTCCACATCACTTTCAGACTCACTATTTACCAAACAATTAGCTTAACATTCACTTAACCATCAGTTGGGTTAATATCTTGATATTTATTCATTTAATAAATACAATAATAGCTCTCTTTCTCACAAAAACCGCTGCTTTAAGACAATCATTCGCTTCTCAAATGAATGCTTTGAAAACACATTTCCAAATATTTATAACTTCCAGACATTCAATGAAAAAAAGATATTTTGAAGACATTTTTTTCGAAAACTTTAAATTAAGATATTTTCCATGCGTTTGAAAAGAAAACAATAAATTATGGGATTTAGTGACGACAATGATTTGATTAAATGATTTTTATGATGTAATTAGTGGGGATTTTCTAGTTCTTAAAGTTGTATTTTCTTCTTTTTCGTGACTTTTTGTGCAAACTATTCATTTGCAGTCAATATCTCATTCTTCTCTCAAACTATTCTCATTTTACGGCACTTTTTATTAATATTCATTTAATGGAATAAATGTTTTTTAATATATGAGAAATGATTTGCAAAAATGCAATCACTGTTCGAGAAATTTCAGGCATTTAGGGTTAGGTCGGGTCGTGTCTCGCAAAATAACTTCGTTGAAAGAGTGGATCTCTCCTGAAGTGAATCGGATCTAAGAGTCAAAATAGAGTTGTTGTCGGTATTCAACAATTGAATGAGACTTTTAAGGACCACACACTACACACACGGCCTAACACAACACATCACCCCTAACACAGCACCCCTTTCACTCNACACACGGCCTAACACAACACATCACCCCTAACACAGCACCCCTTTCACTCTCTTTCTCCTCTTATAGCCATTAATTATATACCTTTTGTTCAATAAGTCACACAATCTTTGAAATGTATTTAGATTTTCTTCAATTAAGAGATTAAAATTTTTGTTTTTCATTTTAATAAGTATTTTTTCTCGGAGTATCAGTAAAACTAGTTTTTACAGCTATTTGTATATTAAATAAGTTTTTTAATTTTGTAGTGACCTCTCAGACGAGGAAACATGAAAAGTAAAATTGTTTGCGAAAAACGGCATAATTATAGTTCTGTTATTAGGGTTTTTTCCGTAAAATCTAATTTAAAATTCATCAAATTTTTACACATTTTTAAACAAAATATGAATATATAATAACATATTTTGAAGAATAACAACACATTCTTCTATTCGTTTTATGAATGAGTTTTTAGTGCTAAAGAAATGCCGGCAAACAAATCAATTTACTTTTCAAATAGGATTTTATCGCAAAAGTTTTGTGAATGAATGCCGAAAACAAGAGACTTCCGTTTGACTGTTGCTTACAATTTTGAGGGGAAAG